CTCTCCTTTTCTTTTCTTTTCTTTTTTTTTTTTTTGAGGAATCTCCACCCTAATTTCCATAGTAGCCATACCAATTTGTACTTCCATCAAAAGTAAATAATCTTTCTCTTGCCCAATATCAAAGCCAGGATTTATTGCCATTTATTAATGTTAATTTTTTTACTCTCTTATCAGTTTCTGGAGGAGATTTGTTTGTGTTTGTCCTATATAGTGGTAGTCACAGCACTTGGCAGAATGATGTATTGAAAGCGATGGCCCCTGTCTCAGTTTCCTGCTCCGGACTGCTGGATACACGCCTGTGATAGTTAACTTAGTATGAACCAGAGAGGCTAGGCTAGACTCTCAAAGACCAAGGCTAGGCTAGACTCTCAAAGACGATGCTGGCTGTCCTGAAACTTACCCAGTAGACCAGGCTGACCTTGAATTTATAAAGATCCTCCTGTCTCTGCCTCCCAAATGCTGGAATTAAAGGCAAGCTACACCTCTGCCTGGCTAATTGAAGGTCTTAAAAAGACTGAAGAAGTTGGGGTGGAGAGATGGCTCAGTATTTATGAGCACTGGCTGTTCTTCTAGAGGACTCTGGTTCAATTCCCAACACCCACATGGCAGTTCACAGTTACTGTCTGTAACTCTACTTCCGGGGGATCTGGCACCCTCATGCAGGCATACATGCAGGCAAAACACCAATGTAAATAAAATAAAAATAAACAATTACAAAGAAAAGACTGAGGAAGAAGGTCCACTTGAGGGTTCAGACTGCAGCATCAGCTCTTCCTGGGTCTGGCCTGCTGGACTGTCTTGCACCTGCCCTGTGGGTTTGAGATTGGCCAGCTCCCACAGTGGCGTGAGCCAATTCCTAAAAATAAATCTCTCTCTCATACCCTTTAGGTTCTAATTCTCTGTTGAACCCCTACTAACCATTCCTTCTTGTTGCAGAAAACTGTGGAATTTAATATGCTATTTTGGATGAAAATATGTTTGGGGTAAAGATAGTTTTATTTGGAACTTATTTATTAGGGTTAGGCCCAAGATTGGAATCCTTTTTTTTTTTTAAGTGTTTCAGTACATGAGGAAGATAAACACCCCTCTTTAGTTCAGCTCACTTGCCATTGGGGAGCAAAAAATAGGACATCCATTGACATTTGGATATGTGCTGGGTTTGGGTTTTATTTGGGACCACAACTTTAGGTCCCTTAGGAATCATACTTAGCCCAGTTCATAGCTCAACTAGGTGGCAACAGTCCATAAAATTTTCCTTGGAAATTTGTGGATCTGTGTTTAGCTAACAGGAACTTTAAGCATAAGAAGCACTAAGAGATGAGCCTTCTTCTTAAAAAGTGTGTGGTGTGTGTAGCTGGTGTTGATATTTTCCTCGGTCTCTCTACCTCGTAGACTGAGGCTCTCTAGCTTGAACACAGAACTTACTGACTCAACTAGTCCAGCTAGCCAGTTTGTTCCAGGGATGAGTTTCCTGTCTCTACTTCCTGAGCCCTGGGGTGACAGGTGTGCTATTAAGTCAACCTAGCATTTAACTGGGTGCAGAGGATCAAAGAAATTTGGTCTTCACTCTTATGGGGCAGGCCACATTATCCATTGAGCCATCTTCCCAGCCCATATTCCTTACCAAAAAAAAAAAAAAAACAGATTTTATTTAGGTACACATGTGGTACCTATATATTTGAATGCATACAGCATGCAGGCCTGGTGGTCTCTCCCAAACATGCTTCTTGCCTGAGGAGTCCAGAAGCGAAGTTAGATGCCCTGGAACTGGAGTTACTGGAGATTTTGAGCTGCCATGTGTGTGTGACAGGATCAGACTCCAGATCTTTTGCAAGAGCAATAAGTGATTTAAAGCCTGAGCCATCTCTCTAGATTCCCATATTCCTTTTTTTGGGGGGGGGGGTATTTTTGTACCTTTGTATTTTTTTTGTTGTATGATGTTTTACTCTTTTGACTTTTGGGGGGACCCAGCTTCCAAATAAAGCACACACGGAAGCTTATTATTACTTATGAATGCCCAACCTTAGCTTGGCTGATTTCTTGCCATTTTTTCTTAACTTAAATTATCCCAACTACATTTTGCCTCTGGCCTTTGATCTTTCTCTATTTCTGTATAATTGTTTTTTACTTCTTTCTCCGTGGTTTGCTGTGTACCTGGGTGGCCCCTAGTTTCCTCCTCTCCTTGTTCTCTGGCTCCTTGCTCTTTCTCCCAGATTTCTCCTATTTATTCTCTCTGCCTGCCAGCTCCGCCTATCCTTGTTCCTGCCTTGCTATTGGCCATTCAGCTCTTTAGTAGGACCATCCAGTGTTTTAGACAGGCACAGTAACACAGCTTCACAGAGTTAAACAAATGCAGCATAAACAAAAATCACAAACCTGGAAATAATATTTCCCAACATCTTAAAATATCTTTTATTATTTTTTCACTTATTTCACGTACTGACAACAGTTTCCCCTTCCTTCTCCTGTTCCCTCCCTGCACCTTGCTTCTACTCCCCTCCCTCATCCACTCCTCCTCTGTCTCCATTCAGAAAGGGGCAGGCCTCCCACTGGGAGTCAACAAGCCTGGCTCTTCAAGTTGATGCAGGACCAAGCCTGCCCCCCAGTCCCCTCCCACCCCCGCTGCAACTTTGAGCAAAGCACTCAGGATGGGGAATGGGTCCCATATTCCTTTTTCTAAAAAAAGATATTTATTATGCATATAGTGTTCTGCCTGCAGGCCAGAAGAGGGTGCCAGATCTCATTACAGATGGTTGGGAGCCACCATGTGGTTGCTGGGAATTGAACTCAGGACCTCTGGAAAACAGCTAATGCTCTTAACCTCTGAGCCATCTCTTCAACACCTCCCCCCCCCTTATTTTTTATGCTACAATTTCCCCCCTGCTTTTGCTTGTTAATGTCCCAGTGAAGTTATTTTGATACTGTGTCACAAAAATTGTGATGGCAATTACGGAACTCAAATAATAAAATTTACTTATAAACGTACTGATCTAGAAATGTAAACTTCTTAATGGCACAGGCTGAAAGAAAAACGACAGCTCTTTAAATCTAGGGCAGATCGTCTTTAGGGAAGGGAAGTCTTGAAGATGCTGCAGTCAAACAGCTGTTATTTCTGCCTTGTAATTGACAAGTTGGTATTCTCAGAGCGCCCCAGGGAAATTGCAAGGCCATTTGCGCCCTTTGGAAAGCCCGGAGGCTGTTGGATTTCCACAACAGCTGTCTCAGCGAACCTTCCCAGGCTCAACTATCCACTGGCCAGTTCTCTTTTTGTCTTCTGAAGCCCTGACACGAGAATCTGGCAGCTAGAACAAGGCTGAGAGCAACTGACACAGGAAACGGTGGTGGCCTGATGCCTGCCTGCAGTTGAATGGGGACACACAGCCAGGTCTTAGCAAGGAAGCAGCTGTCACTCCAAACATCGGGCTCAATGTCACGAGCTTGCTTGTTTCCTTCTTCTAAAGTGGTTTAACTGCCTTAGGAAGGTAACACCAATGCTTGGACACAGTATCACTCGCCCTTAACCTTGCAGTTTAGGAGGCAAGAGAAATAAGAAATAAACTCTCATTCATTTACTGTTTCCTACATGGTATGTGATGCTGTATATGTGTGTGTGTGTGTGTGTGTGTGTGTGTGTGTGTGTATTGCATGCTGCTAGGGAGGTAATTTATGGTTACTGCCTGGGTTTGAACCACACTAGTTGTAAGTCACCTAACTTCTTGTAAGTCACTTAACTTCTTGTAACTCACCTAACTTCTTGGAACTCACCTAACTTCTAGTGTCATGTTCTTTCTGAAATGATAACACCTTAGGATGATCACGATGATGTCTGAAGCTACTAGGACTGTTTACAGACATGGTAGGCACTATATTGCATGTTTGCTTTTATCTATGTTAGTTAGTGTTAATACATTTCCATTTATTCTTTGGAGATGGAGGGAAATGAGGCTCATGGAGATTAGGTCCATCACCGGAGATGGCAGAGCATGAAACCAAACTCTGATTTATCTGCTCTGCCCCCCCCCTCTCCACCCCAGCACGACCAGGCATGCTCAATCCTATCAAATTTCCTCTCCTGTTTGCCAGCTCAGGGTTGAATTTATCAGCCTTTCTTTGTACTGGAGAGGCTGAAATCCTATATGACTGTCTTTAATCCTCCATTTCACCCATCTCTGAAGAAAAAAAAAAGCCAATATTCAACATGCTGGGGAGTGGGGGTGCATGGAAGGGAGTAATTTCCTTCTCCTAGTCCCCTTTCCTTCCCCTGACTACCAGAGCGTAGTCATAACTAATATTCAGAGCCCTTGTTTTAGTCTCCGGGATTTAAGGATGAAGACAGGTAGGTTCCTAAGACAGCTCTGCCTAACAGAAATGGGAGACAGGAAATGGAACTAAAAGTTTCTAATAGCGACATTGAAAAAGTAGGGGAAAAAACGTGAAATTTAAAAATACCATTTAGTTTAAATATCTTAACCTGGGACCAATGTGAAAATTATGCAGGAGACAGTATTACCTTTTTGGGTATTGTTTTCTACATACTGTTTTTTTTTTTTTTTATACACAGTGCCCCTGAACAGACATGATGAGGCCGTTAACACCCACAGCCACTCAGACCCGTATACTGCAAGAGCCTACTTTATGTATTTAGGCCCATTTTATTCATGTGACTTCATATGCCTAAAATTGTCTCCCCTGTTTTCATTTTCAGATACTTATGGAGAAAAGTTGGCTGAAGGAATAACGGAGTTGCCTTTTCTCCAAAATTCTCCTGTTTTCTTCCTGCAGCCGAGATTTCTTGTGTGGTCAGTGACTCGATCTGTCCCCTTGTACTGCTCACCACGCAATCAGACATGATATGAAGGGCATTAGCAGGACTCAGATCTCCTTTGGGAAGTTTTTTCCTCGTGTCTTGTGCCTCTGTAGGCACCATAGGGCCTCTACTGATGACAGCAGTCAGATTAGCCTAGCAGAGGCTTGACAAGGGCTCAGATTTCTTGGACCGGATGACAGGCCGAGTCCGGAGCCCCGGCTATCTTCGGGGCCTACTCAGGATGCGCAGTGTGTCCACCACGAGCATCCCAGCATCCGCTTGCGCTCAGCTGTGGCAGATCCGCCAGGGCCTCCGCCTCCTCCTCCTCCTCCTCGAGGGCCTGGAAAACAGCAGGAATCTCCCCGCCTGCCCGGCGTCCAGAGCACCCCCTCCCCCTCCCCGCAGGACCCAGGGCGGAGTCGCCCACCTGTCACCAGAACGTCCCACGTGGGTCAGCTGGAGGAGGGGTTGAAGGGAGGGAGAAAAGGCAGAGGCGTGGAGGGAGGCAGACGTGAGAGGAACCGAGGAGGAGAGAGGCTGAGAGCTCCGAACAGCAGAAGAATCTAGAGGACCCCCTAAGACACCTAGAGACAGGTAAGGATGGGGCAGGTGAAAGAAAGGAGACAGAAACTAGGCTTGCGGGAAGAGGAGGAAAAGATGGGAGCGAGGAAGGGGTTGTGCACACGCGACGAGATAAGATGGATAAATGCGTTGCAAGAGAACGATTCTAGCCAGAAGACGACGGGCTAAGGGGGGGGGGGGGGGGGGGGGGGGGGGGGGGGGGGGGGGGAAGGAGGAACTCAGGCGTCTGCCCCTTTAAGGTTGCCAAGGCAACCGCTCTGGCCAGAGCGAGGCGCATTGACGTCAGTAGCCGAGCTCTGATTGGCCGCGGTCGGCTCGTTTCCGGTGGAGCCGTCGCCGAGCCGCTATCGCAGAGTGGAGTGAGGCTGCGAGCTGAACCCTGAGGACGCCCGGTACCCCGGCAGCCTCGCCCCGTGCAAGTCTCGCCCGCGCCGCCGCCCGCCCGTCCGCAGGTGAGTGCGGGCCCGCGGGCTGCTCCGGGAGCCAGCGGCCGCGATGCCCCGCCGCGCGTTCCTGGAGGCGCGGGAGCGAGCCAAGATGGCGCCCCGGGGAGCGCGCTGCGGGGGGACGGCCGCACCCCCTGCGCCTCCGAGGCGGCCGCAGGCCTCGCATTCCCGGGTCGCATCTGCACCCCCTCCTCCTCACGGGGCCCTAGGCCACCCGTGTCCCCCACCGTCCCGCCCCCGGCCTTCGCGTCTCCGTCTCCCCAGCCCTGCGCGGCCTTCGGGCCTCCCTCGGCTCCCCGGCCGCCTCCGCCCCCGCGCGCCAGCGGCCTCCGCGCTCGTCCTCCCTCCCCCACTTCCTGAAGGACAACAGCTCGATTTTTTAACCGGAATCCGCCACGGTTCTTCGTTCTGGTCTTGCTACTCGGCTGTCGTCTTCATCTCCGCCCGGTCATTTCTGCGCCCGGTCATTCCCCTCCCCTCCTCGGGCTCGTCCCCCCCCTCCACCCCTCCACTCGGTGATTTCAGGCTCGCTCCCTTTCCCTTTGTCCCCCCTCTTCACTTCTCCTTTCCCGAGTTCCACCCCCCCCACCGCCCACCCCAGCCTTCCCAGGCCCCCTGCTCGGCGTCAGAGGCCTCCGGCCTGGTGAGGGATGAGGGGTCGCCCTTCTGCATTCAGTGCCCATGACCGTGGCCTAAGTGAAGTGAAGGGCACTCTTCTGTCCTCCCTCTCGAAAATACGCGGCGTCTGTTAACCCCTGCAGCTCAGTCCGGGTGCGGGGACAGCCGGTGACTCGAGGGAGCCACAGTGGTTAGGCTTCTTGAGCAGAAAAAAGAAAGCTGGAACCAGATGACGACCCCCAAGGCCGTGTTGGTGTTCCTTGGCATCCTTCAGGGGCCAAGCAACAGGCTCTCCAAACGTTTTAAATATGTCTTCCAGTGTAGCCCTTCTGCGAGCAAGAGTTTCGTTAGAACCGAATTTTCTTCTGTAGACAGTGCGGTGATGGCTTTGAAGTGTTTGTTTTGGAGGGTAGCTGAGTTGTTGGGCTTTGAAAAAATAAACACAAGTGTGGAATTAGGACATACCCGATTAAAAATATTCAGGCCATGAAATTAGATTACTTGGGGTTGGACATGGTGACTGCAGTAATTTGGGGGGGAGTGTTTGTATGTCTTTACCAGCGCCACCTTTTTGGTCTTGGTAATGCATAAACCATTTTCCACTCCTTAGGCTCACTTGAGCCATCTTTACCGACCAGAGTCCAGATCGGAGAACGATTTCTCTGGACAATTAAATATACATGTGCTGGCCTTCTCGAAATAAGACTAGTTGTTTTGAACCATAAAAGATCTGCGTTCTGCACGTTTCTGGTGGCCTTTGGCGTTTGAAATGGAGAAAATTCCACTGGAGTAGATTCCACCTTGCATATGGTTGTCGGACCTGGAATCAGGGCAAGGACAAATGCTATGTTACAGTGAAAATCTTCCCTTTAGAGTTACAGTGAAAATCTTCCCTTTAGAGTTATTCTGAAATACCAGCGGGCCTGCCTCTGTGGTTTCTAATTTGCGAGCTTATCCTGGAGCCACGAACTTTCCCCTGGTCTGTTAATTGCTTGTTATTGACTTTATTTTGAAAGTTGTCAAAACAAAATGATAACAAAATAGCACTTTGAAGTAGTTCTTTATCCTGCAGTTTCTCTTAATTTCATAGGTTTACTTTGCTGGTCTGTGAGCATTTAATCTGAAAAGCCGTTTGCAGAGCGGAGAGGGAGTCAGTCATCTTTTAATCTCAGGTGCTTAGTAATTAAGAGGAAAACTGAATGACAGCAGAGTACCAAGCTTTTAATTCTGTGACAGTTTGGCTGCCCATTATTGTGTTTCTGTTTCACATTATGTAGTTTGGAATGCAGGCAGTTTTATCTATTGGGCCATCCTGCAAGCTTCAATGTATTTTAGCATATTCCTGTCCAGATGAAGGAAATCTTAGTTTGCTTGATAGAGCTTATTTTCTTGTAGTACAACCTTTTCATCTCTTTCCACTGATAATTGTATTACCATCTAGGGTTTAATATGGTTCAGTGAAAGATTGCTGAGAAAAGGCACCCGAAGCCTCTTTTGTGTTTCAGAAAATTTGGTTCCGCTAATATTCGGCTAATCCGCTCTTTTGCCCTGGTGGTTTGCTGTGTGACATTAGCTGTGCTCAAGGGATGGGAGGTGTGCACAGGGGAGTGTCAGATGTTCCTCACTGTGCTCTGTGCTTTCACTTAGAGCCGACCTGTGCGCCCTTGTAATTCTCCGTCCTGTTTACCGTTTACACATTTCCCACGTCATCATCATGATGTCTTTTGCAAGACTATTACTGAGTGAAATTCCCTCAAGGCCTGAGTGCTCAGCACTGCCTTGCTTGCTCAGCAGGGCATACTGGCTCATGCTTCGTCAGAGGAGCTAAGGGTCTTCTCTGACTGTGCTTACTGACCTCAGATTAGGAACTAAATGAAATGCTTATTTTGAAGAATTCAAATTCTGTACATATTTTATATCCCAGTCCTCACCTCCTTTTAAACTCTATTGAGTAGAGAAAAGACTGATGTGAATCTGTTGTCTTAGTGAATTTAATAAGTCACAGGCCAAATTCGCGTCTGTACTTTATAGCTTACCCAGCACACCCGTGCTTTTTCTCCTAGAGAACCATGGCGTCTGGCAGTACTACCGCCAGTGAGGAAGAGCGGAGTCTCCGGGAATGTGAGATCTATGTCCAGAAGCACAACATCCAGGCCCTGCTAAAGGATTCGATTGTGCAGTTGTGCACAGCTCGACCCGAGAGACCCATGGCATTCCTTCGGGAATACTTTGAAAGGCTGGAGAAGGTAAAAATAAATGAGGGGAGATATGCGATGACCATGGCAGTTGTTGTGAGGGTTAATGCTTCTGGGTGTTGCTGATTGTGCCTTTTGGGAGAAGAGGAATTCTGACCAACAGTCGAACAGAAATTCTAATTAGCATACAGTGAAGGATTTCTTAGTAATTTTAATCAGATCTATCACAAATTGAATCAATATTGTTTGGCTATTAAAGGGTTTTCAAACGGATGGTTTTTGACTATTTTAAATAATATTTAAAGTTGACTTTACCAGATAGAGTCAATCAAATGTGGTATGACAGGTATATGAATTGAGAAATAGTTAAAAGCAGTTAGTGTTCTTCAAGAAAGTGGCCAGCTTTTAGTTTCTCCCACCCTTAAAACTACAGTCACACATCTACATCTAGCTTGGGGTGGTGTTATCAGAATAATTTCTGAACTCCTGTTTATTGTTAGATAGACGAATCAGCTGTAGGCTGGGAAGGTAGAGATTGGTAACTGTCAGTTTTACCATAGTTATAATTTTGGTTAGGACTTGTCTCCCAGAAAGTATGCAATTTGATTTTTTTTATTCTGTGTTGTTGCATCTGTATTTTGTGTGTGTCATTGTGACCCACAGACACACAGGTTGTACATTTTTTTGTTTTAAAAAAATACTTACTTACTTTTATGTGTATGAATATTTTGCCTAAACGAATGAATGTGTGTGCATTACGTGCTTGCCTGTTGCCCACCACGGTCAGAAGAGGGTGTCAGATCCCCTGCAGCTAGAACTGTGGATGGCTCTGAGTCTGAGTCCTCTGCAGAGAGCGGCAAGTGCTCCTAACTACCGAGCCTTCTCTTCAGCCTCCAGGAAGTGCATTCCTAAGCAGAATTGCAATTTTGCATCTTGGATCTTCTACGCCCTTTCCTCAAGAGATGATGTGTATAAAAGTTTGGTTCGCCCAGTATGATCAGTAGTTGGTTTGATTTGCTTCTGTCAATCATTGGGGGTGAATGTGCCACTTTGCTATGCATATTCAAGTTTTGAAGAGGTTCCGTATACTGGGACTCATTTCTCTGATAGCATATTTAATATCTGACTGTATAGTAGAAATATCTGCAATATTCACATTGGTTTGGACAGTTTCTTACTGTTGAAGTTTCTACGTAAAAGAATATGCATCTGAAGAAGTATTTGAGTAGCCAGTAAGCAGGTATTTTACACTATTTCCTTGGAAACCTTTAAAATGCTATTGTTCAGAATGATTAGACTGAGGGGAAGAAAGGAAAACTGCTAAGAAGTCCCTCTGAATACAGTCTTGCCACCTTGGGTTTGTAGTAGAAATACTGGCTTTCTCTTACTTAAGCAATCACTAAATAATAGACATACTTGCCAGGAGTGTGCTCTATTTTGAAATCAAGCGTGTTCCTGGAGATCTGGTTCTGAAATGGGTCACGGTAAGGCGATCCCTCTTCTTTGGACATCAGTAGAATCAAATGAGAGGATTAAGTCGGTGAGACATTAAGTGCCTATCTTTTTATAGGAAGTGTTGAGTGTGTGACACTAATTTCAAAGCCTGAATTTACCACAGGAGTGTTTAAGGACCAACTAAGGAAAGCCACAATGGTTATTGTAGTTTTCCTTGGATGGGATTTTAGAATTAATGTGCATGGACCCTCCTCCCTCAGTAAGTTACATTATAAAACACCTTTCTTCTATGTTGAGGTTCTTTGTTGACTTGCCAGAGTTGAATATGTATATAATATTCCACTTTGTTTTTTAATTAACTAGATTTTTGACCTTTTAACAAATTAGTTATTTCATATATCATGTGTTAATTTTTATTTCTTGAAAATGAACTCACATTCTTACCTCCTTCCCTATTAACTAGGGGTTATGTTTCCGGAACCTGCTATGGCTTCAGGAGAAATACACAAAAAGAATAGAGTTAGTCAATGGAGACAACTGCTTTTTAGTTCAGACCGTTGTGCCTGGAACCTGAGTTCTCTTATGTCTGTATTTACTAGGACTTTGCCTTTCTGCTGGATAAGAGGCGTTGTATCTACTACTGTTGAATGTCTCTTGTTTACTAAATACTGTGTGAAGTTCCACAAACAGACACACACATACACACACGAGAGACACAGAGTCTGTCTCTTTCCCATTAGTTTAGATGTGTAAGCTGGTATTGATACCATTTTGCTGAGGCAGCAATTGAATCTAAGGAGAGTTAAATCATAGCTGTGATCCTAGGAGTTAAGTATTACAGCCACAACATGTAACCCTGGAATTTCAGTGTATTTCTTGGTCATGTGCCTATCTTGTCTTTACTTTGTATCTCGTTCTCTGTCTGAGTAGAAAGAACAGCCATTATCTAGGGCTTGTTGATCTCCAGGCAGAGAAAGAATAGAAATCCAAGGCCTCTAGAGGCAGACCACAATAGCGTTTGTGGTGTGACATGTCCACTTCCAGACGAGCAAATCATGTGCCCAAGTCTCAAGTCTTGGGGTGGGAAGCTTG